ACTACTACTACTACGACTACTACTACGACTACGACTACGACTACGACTACGACTACGACTACGACTACGACTACGACTACTACTACTACTACTACTACTACTACTACTACTACTACTACTACTACTACTACTAACTACTAACTACTAACTACGAACTACTAACTACTAACTACTAACTACGAACTACTTACTACCTACTACCTACTACCTACTACTTACTATTCACTACGTGCTACGTGCTACGTGCTACGTACTACTACTACTACTACTACGACTACTATTATTACTACTACTACTACTACTACTACTACTACTATTACTACTACAACTACTACTACTACTACTACTACTACTACTACGACTACTATAAATGCTGCAGCGACCACTAACATTACTCCACTCTCAGTCACGTGCCAATCAACTGTGGAACAACAACAAAGAGCGGCACGGCGTGAGCTGCGGTTCCAGTCCTGGAAGGTTGTCGTCGCTGCTCCGATCCCCACCACCTTGGCGAGACAATGCAAAACGTGGCAAACACATGAATTGCACACTACATCGGCTGTCCTATGGTGTAAATTGCATAGGCGTACACCAAAACGTCCTCACTCATCCTCTTCGTTGAAGCTGCCTGACGCTCCGTCCTGAACTGACCTCTCTTTCTGCTCGCAAAAGCGCAAGTTTAACATCGTCAGCTTGGTCCACGTTCCCACTCGGCTCTTCCGCCCCTGAACCTAGAGGCTACCCTCAACGCGCGTCTCATGGTGGTTCGGTCGGCCATGGCCTGACCCAACCAAACGTGCTTCTGAGCCACCGTGCCGGAACTACCCTCGCCTACGCGAAATTATCCGCCAGCACCGTTTGCCTCCTACTGCGGGTGCCACGCCACACCTGAGTCCTACCAGCCCTGTGAGCGTAGGTAATTTAAGAAGTGTCTTGTACTGCCCCGCTTGTTCCCATGTTCCTCTTCGGGAAAAGGTTGATCACACCTCCTCATTAGAAAGAACCCACTCCCCGACTCGACTGGCGACTGACCAGGAACAAAACAAAGGCCCTCCCCACCATATCTTCCCCCAAAGCAATGCGACGTGCAACAAAATCTCAACCATGTTCTGTCGCCTCACAACCCCATTGCATTGTATTGTTTGACAGGGCCGTCGGGGGTACCATCATATTGCCCGTTAGGCGCAGGCCCACATACGTCACTTGATTGCGGGCGCACAGGCAATACAAAATGCTTGCAAACAAACGTCGTCACGCTGCCTGTGTTTTACAAGGGTGATGGGATATCGACGTGTTGCCCGATGTGTGCTGTGACGTGCTTTGGCGCACGCGGCGCATCTGGCGCACCAGGCGCGCCTGGCGCGCTGGGGACCATGGATCACCTGGCGCACCTGGTGAGAGTGGCACACGTGGCACGCGCAGTGCACCACGCAGGAGCCGCGGACCAGCTGGAGTCTGCAATGGTTCGTGGTTCCGAATGGTTGCCGATGGCGGCCCCTGCCTGTGTTGATACTCGGGTGCTACTCATGTAGTGGGAAGGCGGGTGGGAGTGAGCAACACCGTGCGGCGTTCCCGCTGGGAACCTGACTTCGTCCCTCATACCCCCTCCCCTGGAAGTGACAACCGACATGCAGTGGCCACCTCACCTGTTGCAGGTCGCAGCCAGGGACCGCGTGTGGGAGGTAAAAGCTGCCAGTGGCCCTGGGCTCGGGCGGAGAAGCAGAGAAGGGGGGACGACGACGGGGAGGGAGTAGTTGTGAGAGGCTGTGCCAGGCTTGGGGGTTCTTGGGGAAGATTGCTGAGCAATTCTCTATGGGGGAGCAGCGAAGAGAAACGCGGGAGGAGTGTGGGGGGAGGGACGAAAGGGGCGGAACGAGGGACGAGGAAACGGGCAGGAAGAATGTGATACGATTCGACATCCCAAACTGGCGCACAGAAACCATCTTGCAGCGTACGGATACCACAATTGTCCGCAATTTCACCAAGAAAGGAACGAGGAGGGAAACAGAACGAGGTGGGAAGGAGGAAGGGAGAAGGAAGGGAGGGAGGAAGGTGGGAGGAATGAGGGGGTCTGAGCTTCGGCTGCCAGTGCCATCATTGTGGAGCCCGTGGATAAGCGCGTAAATGAAAGAGAAGAGAACGGCAGGCCTTTTTGGCGGAGAGCATCGGGACGATGTTAACGAGCACGAGGATGTGGACCACGCAGTGGGCAAAAAAGCCTGGCCGGACGGACGTCGACAAGAGGGAGAGATAGGAAGAGAGAACGAGAGAGAAAGGAGGGGAGGGAGAGAGAGAGAGGACAAACCCAAAAGAGAGAAAGGAAGAGAGAGAGAGAGACCAACACATTGAGAGATAGAGAGAAAGAGAGAGAGAGAGAAACATACAAACAACTTATGAAACAAATTATGTTGCTTCGAGCGATCCCCACCGAAACCTTCAGCGTTTGTTCCCGACGGCGCGCGGTCGCCTAATTGGTTGAACACTGCCGTTTCTGGATTCA